ACTTTGCGCCGGTCAAACTGAAGGTCACATCGCTACAGAAACTAAACGAAATATACCACTGATAAAAGTTACTTCGTTCTAAGGTGGCTTCACCATATACCACAGTTAGCAATTGAAATGCGTCCGTCCACTTCACACAAAATTTGATGCAGATTCTTTGATTAATTTTGCGGAATAGGCAAAATCGAAGACGACCCAAAACACGTGCAAGCAAAGTAGTTGTCAAAAATTAACTTAACATACAATATAGCCGAATTTGTCGGTTTAAGCGAGAGACATGAGTGCCAACATAACGCCACAATAAAATCGAAAATCGAATATACATAACTCAAGGAAATTCGAAATTTGCGATACTTTTTGAACAGACTTCGTATTGTGTGTAAATAGTGCATGCTAATTTAAGGTTGTTTCCAAGTGAATATTGAATACGCGTCTTTATACCCTGAAGGGGAGGAAATATTTTGTCGATTTCCTAGGATATTTCGATTTAATGTCGATCTAGTTTTCCAACAGAATGCAGCGTTTCACGGTTCAGAAAGCCATTTAAACCGCAACGGATTAAAAGTAGGTACTGCTGCACCAGAGCGTCACAAAGGATTATATGTTATATACTTTTGAACCGAAATTGCTCGAAGCGTATCCGGGGTCTTAAGCGACTGTTCCAAAGAAATTATGAGACATGCACTCTTCCCACTTACGTCGCATTGGAGAATATAAATATATTAAGATAATTACTATAAGTACAAATCAAATTGTAATCACCGGTCTTTTAAAATTTTTATGTTAAGGTCATACCGCAGGTGTGAGAAGTTGGCTAGGAAAAAGACCAAATTTTACCCCCAGTCGAAATCGTTTTACTACCTCTCAATTATTTTATTCGAAAAGAAAAATTTCCTTGCTAACTTTACATCCGCTCTTCTTTAGGGTAACAGCCTTTTATTTTATGGAAATTCCTTGTCAAATAAGCAGCAATTCAAATATGCAATCAGATTAAAAAAAAAAGAGAATCCCTTTTTTAACTACAATTTTTAACAATTTAATTTATGAAAATTGATTTGTACAGTTACGTTCATGGAAAAATAGGCCTTGAACTATCGAATGTTTCAAACAAAATTACCTTATATTTTGCCAAATCTATAAAAATTAACAGTAACAATTTAACGTTTTTCAGTGCAAAATAGAATATTTCGGAAACTATAACTCGAATCAAGTTGCTTTTTCTTATGATTTGTTTGCTTTAAAAAGAGGTAGTGAAGATCCAGAGTATCATCAATACAATGTTTGTTTTAAGTAACGATTGAAATATTGCCAATTTTTAACGGCTTTTTAAGCATTACTCAGCAACTACTGATGCAATTTGGATCTTTAAAATCTGTTTCGTACAGAACTTTAAATCCTGCAACTTTTTCTTGTAAAATTTATAGTTTTTTTGTTATCAACGAAAAACCTCTTTCGTGTGTCTTTAGACGCAATTTAGCAACAATTCCAAACAAAACTTGTGGATAATTCTCAGATATTCTTGATTTACAAACCTTTCTCAAAAATTTTAGGTAGATTCTACTTTGGGTAACATTTACTTTTCCCGAGATTCTAATTTGACTGGTCTATTAAACAAACAACCTTTTTGATTTTCGAGCGTAGTGAATTAAAAAAAAAATGATTTATATTTCCTTAAATAAGAGAGGGTGATAAAACGAAATGAGGGTCGGTAAAATTCTGCAGGGTGTAAGGATGTAATAATATTAGGTAAAACGTTTTCAACCTTTAAAGGTTTCTCTCCTATCTTCTGGTGTTGCGTAGTAGTCGATATTTTTGGAATTTTTTTCTCGTCCGGGCCAAATTTTAGGGGGTGGTCAAACGAAATTAGGGATGGGTAAAATGCTGTAGGGATGTAATAAAAACAGGTAAAACGTTTTCAATTCTTAAAGATCAACGTCTTCGATTTCCTTGCGTTGTGAACTTAGCCTGGATTTTTGAAAATAATTTTTGGTGGGTGTTGTAAAATGTAATGATGGAGAGGGGGTAAAATGTGGTTGGGGCAGTCGTAATGGGCAGGATGTTTTCAATCCCTTTACATGTAATCGGTTTGCTAAGTTGTCCCGAATATTAAAAAAATTACTGTTCTTTTCTCTTTCTGTGAGAGTAAGAACCTTTTCACACGAGCTAGATTTTGTAACGCTTCCGTTGCGCAACATTGGCGCGACAGTTGCTAGTCCCTATGTATAAAGAGCGATCTTTTGCAGCGTTTCGATGGGCCTTAGAGCCTTTTCACATTGATTACTTTTTGTAACGCTTCTGAAGCGCTACAGTTGCGCCCTTTTTTAATTCCACTGTTTTAAATTGAAGCTTTCACACGAGAAGAGCGCTTCAAGAACGTAGCGCTCCAATCGCTGAACTGTAGCGACATTCGCTTGAATCGCACGGCTTAAATAGTCGTGCCCCCGTTGCGCTTCAGTAAGAAATACATTTACTTAAGCATGTTTGGGAGGTATAATCGGAGACAAGAGTACATAAAATTAGAAATTCGTGATTAATTAGGTTTTGCAGCATATCATGAGGTAAATAAATACTATCTATACTAAAAAAAAGTATACGGTTTGAGAGAAAATTTGGAATTTGACCAAAAACTTTGAATAAAATAAGAAATAACGAATAATATGGAAAATTTTTAACTGACTTTTGGCAGTGAATATGCCTTGATTTCAACTTCGAAACAAAAAAATATTTAGTTTCAATCTCTATTAATAATGAGCGTAAAACTTTTTAATATGTTTAAATAATAATTAAAACTTTAAAATTGCATTTATTTCAGACAATTATAAATATTATCATTATATTATCAAGTAAAAACGAGATTTTCAGCTAATTTTTCATTTTTTCCTCGATAACCATTTAGTGAATTTGAATAACCTTACGCTAAAGTGATTCTCCAGAGTTCAAGTTACTTATTATAAAAGTTTGAAATTTCTGGTAGCTTTTTTTCTGTTAATAAAAATAAATTTAATCTGTTCGGTTAACGAATCTCCATAAAATGATGTGTAAAATTATTTTTTAAAATTTCAATAACTTTTTAACGGTTTAGTGAATCGATTTGTAATTTTTACAGGAGTTTTAGAATTGAATGAGGAACGTTCTTCCAAATTTTTATTTGTCTCGTAGCATTTTGACATACTTCGCAAACATCCTTAACCGAAGAGGTGGTTTTTTCCATAAAGGTCAATCATACTTCATACGTATTGACCTTTAAAACCTGTCCTCTTCTCGTTATAGCGAAATATTTCATTTGTGGAAAAAAATATTTTTTTAAGAACTTTTTTGGGCCAACATGACGCATTTCCCCATCGCTGGTTAATGCCGATTTAATATTCGTATACATACATGGTATGTTCGGTTTAAAAATAGTAGAGAGAAAGAGACAGGAGTGTAACAGATTTTGGATTTGTGTTATGGTTAAGGTTCTATGTATGTAGGTATTTTTAACTCGTCTAACAAAGCACAAAATAGCCTGCAGTAATATACAACAGCTGACCCTTTGTTTCTACATTCGCTGTTTGAACATATAAATTTGCATATATGCAAATACAGCAGAATACAGCCTACTACGGTACTGCCGACCGTGATAGTAATTAAAACTAATAATTTTAATGTCAAATAGACACCAGAACCTCTGCAGCCATTTGTTTATCCTTCAAGTTAGCTAAAAGGGTGTAGACGAGTTGCGCCCCGTGGTCAGTCCCTAAATGAAATTATTTAATCTTCAAAAAGGTTATGGTATAGTTGCGCCTCAATGTCAATTTGTGTATAATTAGGTAGGTATCTAGTTTTTTTTACGATATTTAGGTATATAAGATCATTTTTTTATACTTTATGTGGTGAATTTGCTTGTTCGTCGACCTGCTCTAAATCTCGATTACTTTTTTAAATGCCAATAATAAGTAAAAAAACGCCAAACGTGCTTAAAGATTTTATTGAATTAGTTTTTGACCACTTTATTCTATATAAAACTGAGGTGCCTCTATTTGAAGCTATGTGTTCTTTAACACATAGGTAGAAGAGGTAGAAAAAAAATATTAAAATTTGTATTTCTTTTTATAAAAAGCATTTACCTTAATTCGTTTATAAGCAGTCGAGAACCGAAAAACATCACTTATAAGATAAACCCAAAGCTAAAGAAAAGAAAAAAGATCAGAAACAAAATCGGGCTGTAAAAATTTTGATATAATGATGTTGATTTTACATCAATAAAGTTATTTACAACCNTTAACAACGAATAGATATGACATTTATTAACTACTATTTCTTTTATTATATATTTTATTAAGAAAACAGTCACTTAAAAGATTTTTCTTCTGTAATTTCAAAAATTAGTAGGTAAGTACAGGTTATTTTTATTTTAAAAATCTAATTTACATCTAAACATCAACAAAGTGTATGATGTATACAAATGAGATGTTTAAACTTTATATAGGGATCCATTTTCTACCTGCACTCAGAGGCGCAACTATACCATGATCTTCTTGAGGATTAAATTTGTTGAGGCACAAGTAGACTATGAATTTGGGTTCAAGTGACCACGGGGCGTAACTTATATATACCAAACTAAAGCGCTCGGCCCTCTTTAGTTTCTGCTTTAGCTTCAAATATAATATAGATCATAGACAACTTCCATCAGAGACCTCCTCCTTAATATGATTAAATAATTATGATATCACAAAAAGAATCGCGAATCTGAGTAATGTAATACTAAAGACAGCGCAATATAAATGTTGGACTCGTGCACAAAAAGGGTTTACTACAACGGAGTCACAAAACGAAACATTACTTCAAACTGCAGTAAGTGGTTAGTATGTAAATAATAAGCAGTAAAACTACTGGATGACAAAATATACATACATATATGTAGACAGAAGAATTATTAAAAACAAGCGTAGCTGATACAACTGAACTGGGGTTCAAGAGGGGGGAGAAGACCTGAAAAAGATATTTACCAAGATGTTTACCTGCCGTGCCCATGTTCAAAATTGATATTTCGCCAAAGTAGCTTCCCGCCTTAAGAGTAGCCAATACGGTCCTTCCATTGTCGGCAACCACCTGAAGTCTACCACGATTTACTATGTACATCTCTTTCCCCACCTCTCCTGCAAGAAAAAAGTAGAACATTAAATGGAGTAAAATTTAATACCTTATAAATCGAAAAAATTAAAAGTAAAATAAATCAAAAAAAACACACAATGAAAACGTAACAAATTTGATAGATAATAACTGAAGAATGAAATGGAATAGTTGAAACAACAGATCGGAAGTGTTAGTACTTTTGAAAATAAATTTTAACTAAGACTAAAAGGGTGGAATAGGGATCGAATCAATAGAGACTGAAACTTGAAAAGTGTGATTAGATGAAATACTAAGAAACAGATTTTGTCCCAATGTACCAAGAAATCTAATATTAAAATGCGATTAAGGAGGAACGAGAAATTGAAATGTTAAAGGATTAGTCGAAAGATTTTAAGAGGATACATAAATTTAAAAGGATATTTACATAATGAGAATAGGAAATATTTATAAAAGAAAGAATTAAATTATATATTACAATATTAATATGAAGAAAAAGAAATACTAAATCCTTATACCAAAATGATATCGTACAATAATAATATGTGGCAAATGTATGCAGCCACAGTACCATTAAAATTACTACCTGATAAGAGTTTAGAGCGGAATCATTAAAATTGTATCTGGTGTGTCAGTATTAACTGCGGGATGCAATCGTTAATTTTATACCAATACTTTAAATAACCTATGTGTTGTAACAAGTAAATTTAGTAGTCATTTTTCTTTGAAAACACGCTGCTACCACTTTAAGCGCTGAGCGTAGATAGGGAGCGTGTAGCCCATCAGGTTCACGCTCGAATATTTTGGACACTTGGCCAAGTGACCCCGTCCATTATAAATTCCTTATGGTATATTTAATTAATTAGATATATTTTGCATTACTGTAGATATATTAACTTAACTTTTTTGCTTCAATAAATTTTCTTCTTTTTTCTTCCCTGAGATTCAATTTTCGATAGCGTTTTCTTTAGAGAATTTTAAAGTGTCGAGATGCAATGTATACTTCATTTACTTTTTCTAGCAATTGGCCCCTTCCAATGTCTTGGATGCGCGCCGGCAAAATCGTAGGTAGGGAGAAAAAATCTCATTATACTCTCCACTCTTGTTCATTAAACATACTATTTCATACAGTACCTGCTAAAAGTTTTGTTCAATCATGAATAGTAGTGCGACTCGAAAACAAGCGTTAAAGCCTTTAATATGTGTTGAAATATAAATAAACATCTCGTTGATATTTTCAGTAGTAAATGGTATCAATAACAGCACATTTGAGCAATGCAATTGTAGTGGATAAAATGGTCAATTTTTCCGTGCAGTACTGTACGGATTATACGCTCCTCACCGGTTAAGAGTTTGGCCGAGAGTTGTCTCCTTCCTTTTCTGGCCTAGTGCTGTTCTTTTCTACTCTAAGCCCTGAGCGTAGGTAGAGAGCGCGTATTCCATCAGGTTCACACTCGAATATTTATAAATTAATAATAAATTTATAAATTCCTTTTAGTATATTTAATTAGTAAGATAGATTTTGCTTTACTGTAGATATATTAAATTTCTTTTTTGCTTCAATAAAATTTGTTCTTTTTTCTCCCCTGAGATTCAATTATCGATAGCGTTTTTTTTTAAGTGTCGAGTAGCAATGTAAATGTACTTTTTTAATCAGAATTTCAAAGATTTTGCAATTCCACATTTTTAAATGTAGCTACACTTCGGGGTAAAAAGCTGTAAAAGAATAGATACGTTTAATATTAATAGTGAACACGTAGAAAAGCATTGCATGTCATCCTTAATGTGACATGTGAAAAGTTCTAGTCGTGTCACATATGAATTCTGTAGACGAACGGGTATTAAGTTGGTGCAGTGGTACACTGTCATGGTGAATGGTCGATCCTTGAAGACTTAACTGAGGTTGAAAAGTTGAAGTTGCTCAGGTTCGTTCCTTTTTCTTTCTTATGTACTTACGGCGGATGCATGTATATATACCGCGGTAAGACGAGCCAGCGGATGGCCAAAGGCGGTTCTGGAATACAAATGAGTGGAAACGGCAGCAGAATCCGGAACGGGAACGTACTCCGCTTGTCGTCTTGTCAAATTGCTGTTTACCATCCTTATGACAAGTGGCAATTCTTAATTTAATATGAAAAAGGGGATGTTGGTTGGTTTAGTTGATGCTTCCGCATAGAATACACAAGTCAAATTTTTCTGATTTTTTTTTATGTAGATTCAGAAGGTGATTTGAATACTTATTCTTTATTTCAACAATTGGGTTGGAACTTGATATCTAAAATCAGTAGGAAATCACTTTGTTATAAAGATTAGTGACTGAAAACAACCATACGACGTGACGGAAAAAATTATCATCAGCAGCTCGTTAAAAATGGTTTTTGAAAATCAATAAATTCTCTAGATGCCCGGGATGGCCTTTTTGTAGGGTGACGTCGTAAACCTTAGGAGCAGCGTCTACGTTCAGCGATCGACTTTTACCAGCCGCTTAGTGATTGTTTGCAGTACATGTAAAAATTATGAAATATTTTTTACAGTATTATGAATAATGTTTCTTATGTGTATATTGCCAGTTTACAGTATTTGCCTTTTTACAAACATTTTCAAGTCCTAAATTCCTAAGGAACACTATTGTTAGGAACGCTTTCGTTGAGATGGTCAGTAATAATGTTAGAGTTAGTTATTGTAAAAGCGGCCGTTTATGATAAACGTTAATTATTCCATTTTTTTTTAAGATGCAGAATACAATAAAGCTTAGATTTATTAAAGCGGCGGACTTACGACATATTTAACTATCAATAATTGAACATTTTTCTTGTCTACTGAAGAATGGTGACGTCACGCGTTATGCGCTCTCTTCAAGATCATAGAAATGTTTTAAAAACGTAGTAGCGGCCTCAAAAATGGTTTTTGAATTGTAAGCAAAAATTTTATTAACAAAGTCGTATAAGTACGTAGATTCCAAATATGCAACAAAATTAAATTCTGACTGGCATATTAAAGCTGACTCACGACATATTTAATTATCAATAATTGAACGTTTTCTATCAACTGCAGCGTGCTCTGGTCTACTACAGAACAGTGACGTCACGCCGTCAGGTGTTATTTTCAAGGTCATAGAAACGTTTTGAAAACGTAGCAGTCTCAAAAATGGTTTTTGAACCGTAAGCAAAAAATTTATTGACAAAGTCGTATATGTAGACTCCAATTATGCGATAAAAAGAAAATATGACTGACACGATATAGTTAATTATCAATAATTGAACGTTTTTCGTCAACTGCAGCGTGCTCTTGTCTACTATAGAATAACGATGCAGTGGCGATTTCAAAAATGGTTTTTGAACCGTAAGCAAACATTTTATCGACAATATCGTATACGTAGATTCTAAATATGCGACAAAAAATAATTCCTGTCCGAATTCAATTGTATAATTTCATAGTTTGCACAACAATCAAATGTTATGTGCCTCTTTGTTGTGCTTTGCTCTGCACTGTCACATGCCGTATTTCAGTTTGATAAATTGCCACGAATGATTTATTTATAGAAACGTAAAAGTTGATATTTAGTTTTAACATACGTGCTTGTAATATGCCATATATCAAGAAGGCTTTGCATACGCAAAATGAATAATTATATGTATAGTCATAAAACAACTTTTGGGTATTACATTTTCTAATGCGGCTGAGTGGACGGTCACTCCACATAGTATAGTGCAAAGCCGGGGGGTAGGGCGGAAGGTCCCCTTTATCTTTCCTTTAACAATTGTTAGGTGATTTGTAGTTGAAGAGATGTGAATGAGACGGACGAAATGATGACAGAGGCAAGAGACAAGACGATTATTTTAATCTACATATATAAAAGAAAGTCGTCTTAGTTACACCATTTATAACTCAAGAACGGCTGAACCGATTTGGCTGAAAATTGGTGCAGAGGTAGCTTACAACCGGGAGAAGGACATAGGATACTTTTTATCACGTTCCACCAGAGAAACGTGGTATATGTAAACGCAACTGACATGGAATGACAAAACGAAAAATTTATAAATCAAATCATCAGTCTAGCCGTTCATTTGTTAAAAATGGTATAACAAAACGCAACTGACAGCTAAACGTAATGTTGTCTAGGTTAAGTATGGTGTTTTATTTGTAGTCAGATTTACCTGAAACTTGGCTTTAATGCTTTTTCATATAGAATTAATGGCATACATACCTATTTCAACATTCTACAAAATTCTACCTCTTTAGGAAGCTGAAAGGGGTTTGCAAAGATTGCATGTTTGTTTTTGGTCCGATTTACTATACTTGAAACTGCTTAAAAAATAAAAAAATTCAATCTCTGTTGGGGGGGTTGAGTGGTGAAGTGGAGTTGCAATGTTTAAATGGAACATTTATTACTTGCGGTCAGATTTACTTGCAACTTGGTCTTAATGGTCTCTCATTTAATTTCTAAAAGACTTATCTCGACATTTTAAAAAATTCAACCTCCAAAGGGGGAAGGGGTAAAAATGTGTTGCAATTTTTGTTTGGGACATACTTTATTTGTGGTTAAATTTACTTGAAACTTGGTATATATACTGTTTGATACTATTAATCAAATGAAAAGAGGTTGCAACGTTTCCATGGGGTATATTTTATTTGTACTCGGATTTACTCGAAGATTGCTCATTGTTGAAATTAAGCAAATACGTGTTTTCGGAATTTTTTTAAAAATCAACCCTTAAGGATGAAATGTTGTTGCTACATTTGTGTTTGAAATCTAAGATGGCGACATTACATAAAATTAAAACNCTGACGCTGGAAGCTGGCGGAAATTTTAAAATGGCGTGGATGCGCGGTGGCAAAAGTAGGCAGTTTTAGGTATAAAAATTACAGCCCTCATTCTTCAGTATTCCTATCAGGGGCGTAGATTAAATATTTAAAAATAGGGATCAGTGAGCAAGTAATAGACATACAAACAGAAGAACTGATTGTTGATGTTGGTGACAGTGATAGAGATTCCGATGATGACAGTGAATGTGAAAACTAACTATAAAACAAAAGCAATAGGTTAATTTTTTTCTTTTAGATAAGTCATGTTTTTACATTATTTTCTAGTACGCTACTGTCCTATCTGTATTAATACTATAATTTACGCCTACTGAAAGCTTATTTGTGTATCGGTTCCAAGTGACTTACCGGAATAGGTCATAAATGGGCAAGTACCTGCGCGACCGCTCGCCAGCTTCCTTCGTCAGACCTGTATTTTTATAAATCTTTTGGACAAAGTCACTGTATTCTGCTTATGTTTGTTGTTGCATCTTTGTGATACTCGTGCCTATCTCTTTATGATTTGTAATTTATTTTTATGTATTATAGTTTATTCGCAGAACTGAAATGAGTCGTTGAAATTATGAAATGGATCATTTTTGGTGATGTGCGGGTCATAGGTTGCTGTAGAGGTTTTTACGAATTATTCAGGTCCTATTGAACCTACTATAAATAGGTCTTGTTCATTTCACTTTTGTAGCGTTACATACGATATTTTATTTACATACATGCATGGTCGATACACATTGTAGTCGAACTAATTACCGCCAACAAAAGCGGTTGCAATTAATCTCTTGACTGGGATGCCTAATGGTTGTGAACCGCCTTAACAGAAGGACCATTTATCATTCTTGCTTCGGTTGGTCTCAAGACAAGACAGTGATTACAAAAGTTTGTTGACACTTAATTTGTTGCGGTTTTCGGGAGAATTGAGTTTTCGCCAGCCCTCACAGTTGCATGCATTTTAAATTAATGGACTGGCCTTTTAAAGGCGAAACTGACAAAAAGATAATGCCCAGAATGAAAACGAAAAAAGAAAAGAGACAGCTCATCCTTTTGCAACTTTTTATCAGTGAAACTACACGGCATTGTGCTGTTATATCTGAAAAAAAAGGGGAGAGTAAATAATTACAAAAGTTGTACCTACCTTTCCGGCAAATGTAATCCCCGGGCGAGAAGAGGACCGGCCTAAGGCGGAGCACAAGTTCGCATAAAAAACCGGCTTCGGTGTTTTGAAATATCTCGACCCTTTTGAGTGTGTCAAGATGGACGTTGATGGCAATTTCCGCTTTGAGCTTGTCCGGAAGGCACGACACCGCTCGTTCTTCGTCTGAACACTTTTGGGTTAACCACAGGTAATCGAACCACTTGATGACCTTCACTTGTAGGTGATTCGGCACTCTACGCATTCTCATGTACGTTTTTACTCCATCCAGTTTCGCTGAAACAAAAGAAACAGTCGATTTTAGTCTAACAGTAGTTGAAACAATTTCCGAATTGATTCATTGATATTTATATTATCTGGTAGGAGCGGACTGGCCATAAGGGAGTTTGGGAGAGTTCCCCCTGTCCCACCACGATACAGGGCCTCTGAATGCCTAAACATAAGATTCTTAACCCAATAACCCCGGGAATGATAATCTCCAACACGTGGGACAGAAAGAACACCTTAAACTATTATTTGCCTGAAGCGCAGTTTTTAGGATTTATTTAATAATTTTTAAGGCTTATTTTAAATAAAACAAAAACGAAAGGTGCATTAAAAAAAAGCGCTTTGTACTCGTGCAGATAATAATGAGAACTTTGATTTGAGACTTCGACCACTCTTCTAACTTGTATACACCAAGAATAATCCTTTTAATAAGATTCAAAAAAATCCCATTCGTTAAGAAACAAATGATGTCGGGCCTTAAGATTGTATCTGGTGTCAGTATTAACTGCGGGATGTAATCGTTAATTTTATACCAATACTTTAAATACTTTACATAACATATATGCCAATATACATTTTTAATCAGAATTTCAAAGATTTTACAATTCCAGATTTTCAAATGTAGCTACACTTCGGGGTGAAAAGCTGTAAAAGAATACGTTTAATATAAATAGTGAACACGTAGAAAAGCATTGCATGTCATCCTTAATGTGACATGTTAAAAGTGGTGTCACATATGAATTCTGTAGATGAACGGGTATTAAGTTGGTGAAGTAGTACATTGTCATGGTGAATGATCGATCCTTGAAGATCAATGGCTTTTAGTCTAACAGTAGATGAAACAATTTCCGAATTGATACATTGATATTTATATTATTTGGCAGAGGCGGACTGACCATAAGGGAGTTTGGGAGAGTACTCTCTGACTTCCGCTTTGATACAGGGCTCCTGCATGCCTAAACATAAGCTTTTTAACCCAATAACCCCGGGAATGAAAATCATCAACACATGTGACAAGCAAACAAGATGGGTTCATAAACCCAGTACGTGTATACATATGATGCTGTCCTTAAAAAAATACATTAAAGCCCTCATTTACATGGGCCTCGATCTTGTATTTTTTTCGTAAGTTTTCATGAGTTTTTTAACGCCTTTACCCGGTAATAAAAGTTTAATTCATTTGCTTATGTTAATTGTATTTATTGAAAGACATGAACTCTCAATAAAGGATTAAGAAAATAATTTATTGGTGTATTTGCGTACTTGCGTTATAGATAGGGTCAATGCGTATTTATATACAGCGTATAAAGCTGGATGGATCCTAGCTAATAAATTGTATCTATGCAAAATGTGAAAACAGCATAAAAGACAGTTTTTACAAAATTTGTGGTTTGCTTCACAGTTTTCTTCATCAGATTCGTTTGATTCAGTGATTCAGTGCCAGAAAATGTTTTAGCGTCATCATATTTACGTTCATATTCTTCCAAAAAGGCAGTTTTTGTGTTTTACAGTTATTTATGTAAATTTAATAACTCACTTCTTAGTTTTTCTGGAATAACATCTGGTTCGCACATCAAATCAGCGTTGATCTTTTTTTTTTTTAGACTTTAAAGGCCTTTTGAGTCCTAAATTTCCGGGGCCTTTCATAGTACCAGTCCGCCCATGTTATCTTGCGATTTGACATAGAAAGAAGAAAGGCGTATGTGTCTAGATAGATAAGCGACCGCAATAAATATTTTTAAATAAATAAATATGTGGCCAAAATTTGCAGACGAAACCAGGGAATTTGTGGTTAATTACGTATAGCTTATTTTTGTGAAAATGCGCATGTTCGAATCCAAAACATGCGCAGTAGAAAATGCAAACAAACACAATTCATGATCATCATCATAAGGTCATCAGTCCTGAGACTGGTTGGACACGTACCTTTACTCTTTCCTATCCTGAGTTAATCTTCGCATTTCCCCAAAACTAGAATAACCTACATCCTTAACTATTTGCGAACAGTAATCTAATCTAGCTCTACCACTACCCCTCTTAACTTCTGTTTCTGCCTCTAATATGTCTCTGACTAGACCTTCATGTCATTCTCTCTAGTATCTCTTCATTTCTAACCTTTTCTACCCACGTTATCCTCATCATTCGCTTATAACACCACATTTCGAAAACTTCTAACCATTTCTTTTCCGTCGCGCCCACTGTCCATGTTTTGAATTTCTAAATTTCTTTTTATTAAAGGCGACACGGCCCTGCGCTATCCTCTGCTTTATATCCCTACTACTCCTTCCGTCCTGACTTTCTAGATATCTAAAATCAGCCACTTCTTCTAATTTTTCGTCTCCTATCTTTATATTTGCTATTTCCCTGCTTTTTCTTCCCATGCATACTAGTATTTTAGTTTTACTTTTAATTATTTTCATACAGTACTGATCTGTCAGTACCGCTTCCATTTCCTTTAAAGCTATCTCTAGGTCCTCCTTGCTAGATGCTAATACTGCTATATCATCTGCAAATCTAAGCATAGTAATCTTTTGCCCCTGTAAATCTATCCCTACAGTTGTACTCTTTAAATTACAAATTACAAAAATTTTTATTAATTGTCATGGTTGCTGTATGTTGCTAGTGATTATCCTTTAATTCTATAAATGAGACAATTCTTTGTGGGTACTAAATAACTGAAGTACAATAGAAATGCCTTCGATTTGATCTTATCTAAAAAACGATAAAAAAAACTTTATGATTGTCAACGAGGCCATATTGTGATATATTATATACAGTGAGTGAAGCACAGGTCATGGGAGGATATATTACATGTATTTGAAATGTACACAATACTGGTAGGGTTGATGACTATTAGGACGCTTGTGACAGTAGGGGATTTACTCCCCTGGACTTATCGACCGATACAGCGGACGGCGACCAGTCGGAGATTAATTACCATAAATTTTTATTTATCTACGAGGGTGGATTGATAAGTTTCCGGCCTGACCAAGAGATGACGCCACTAGGCCTACCTTGAGGTGACATTCTATAGTACCATCCTTGGATAGCTTGTAGCTATAGTTTCAGCCCGATCTCCTTGCTAGTGTAGGTTTGACAGCACGCTGAACAAGACGCCTCTGTGGTTTTCGTAAAAATGGNTAATTTTAAAAGAGTTGCATAACATACATATGGGTGTAGTTAAAATGAAGTCTATGGCGAGATCATACTTTTGGTGGCCAGGATTAGATAAAGATATTGAGAGTCTAGTCAAGTCATGTAAGCTCTGTCTAGAAAATTCAGATAATGTACCCAGAGCTAAGCTTCATGTTTGGGATTGGCCACGTGATGTTAATCATAGACTTCATATTGATTTTTTGGGTCCTATTGATTCAACAATGTATTTAATAATTGTTGATGCTTATTCAAAGTGGATTGATGTTAAGCCTATGACTAAGATTACGTCTGAATGTACAATATTAGCATTAGAAGAATATTTTTCCACTTGGGGTCTACCCTTAAGAATTGTATCTGACAATGGCCCTTCATTGACGTCTGACGCCTTTGAAAAGTTTTTATCTGACCGTGGTATTGAACATGTTAAAACTGCCCCTTATCATCCTGCTTCAAACGGAGCAGCTGAGAATGCTGTTAAAACTTTTAAGAAAAAGTTTAAGATTTTGTTAAAAGAAGGATACTCAAGGCGTGATGCGTTAATGAAGTTCTTATTTTACTATAGAGCGATGCCTCATGTAACAACTGGTATTTCACCAGCTGAATTGCAAACCGGTCGTTCTTTTCGTACGCGATTAGACCTAATCAGACCAAACCTAAGATTTGAAGTTGGGAAGAGACAATTAGCCCAGCAGCGATTTTACAGGGGTAATCGTTTTGTCAAATTTAATATTGGTGACCAAGTTATGTGTAAGAATTATAGCCGCAACTCTTGGGAGTTAGCTACAATTGTTGCACGAGCAGGTGCAGTCACTTATGATGTTAAGACTCAAAATAATGTAATAGTTAAGAGGCACATTGATCAATTAAAATCGTGCAATGTTGTACAGCTACCTAATAGCTCGTTTAGTCAAAATCAAGCTCACGATGTAACTGTACGTTCTGTAGAGAACAGCAATAGTGACTCTAGTAATACTGATATGAGTGAGGCGAAGACTCCAGTAGTTATACGAAGATCATCTCGCGTGATTAAACAACCTCAGCGACTTAATTTATAAATGCTTAAATTCTCAAGCATTGTGCTTTTGTACTACATGTTTGCCATTATTGTTATGATAAGCAAAGAATGTAAGGGGGAAGGAGTGTAGTATCTATAAGTTATAATAGTTATAGATAGAGGGATATAGCAATTTCCTCCTCCCTTAACGCGAGCCTTCAGTTTCCGCCTGTGGCATACGGTAATGTACGAGCCTACAATAAAGAGCTACGGTGTTGACTTAAAATTATTATTGTCTTTTATTCACATACCTGCCCTCAAACATTACAAAAGTAATAAATGAAGGTTAATTAGATAAATCCTTAAAAATGTCTTTGTAAGGAGCACCATACTGTGCCAAAAAATGTCCCAAACGCTCGCCGAGTGTTTTGCAATATTTTAACCGGTGGAATATCTTTTGTTGCTTCGACAATTTTTTCACGAAGCTAATCCAAATTAATGCCGACTAATTTTTCGGTGATGTATTCCCAAAAGAAAAAATCATTTGGGGATGAATCGGAAATCGGAAGATCCAGCAGGCAATTTAATTTAATCCCATCCGCTAACAATGCGATTGGAGAAGGCAACTTTTAATAAAAATTACGAACCGCTATCATATTATGAGCGAGACAACCGCCTTGTTGTTACCAAATTTTATTAAAATTGATATTTAGCCTTTGAAGGTGGGAATAATTTCTCATTAAAAAGTTAAGATATTTTTCTGAATTTAAACTGTCATTAATTAAGAAAGGGCCTATAAAGAGATCTTTATTTGTTTATTTTCTTTCGAGGTAGGAGCCGACAAAATAATGGAAT